CGCTATGCTATGCTGTGCTATGCTTGGCTATGCTATGCTATGATATGTTATGCTGATGCAACGCTGCGCTAAGCTAAGCTAAGCTAACCCTCTAGGCAGAGCCTCGGTAGGGAATTACACCCATGCTCATGCTTTGCTTTGCTGTCGCTGCTGTTGATTTGCCTTTGCTTTGCTGCTATGCTCTGCTATGCTATACTATGCTGCGCTGTGCTATGCTGCGCTGCGCTGCGCAGCGCTATGCTATGCTATGCTGAGCTATGCTATGCTATGCTATGCTGGGCTATGCTATGATATGCTATGCTGCGCTATGCTATGCTACGCTAGGCTATGTTGTGCTTGGCCACGCTAAAGCTCAGCGAAGCTAAGATGAAGGTAAGCTAAGCTAAGACAAACCTGAGCTAAGATGAAGCTAAGCTAAGATGGAATAAGCTAAGCTAAGATGAGATAAGCGACGCTAAGCTAAGGGGACGTAACTGGGGGAACCGCGGGGCGGATGCCGGGGGAACCGCCCGGGGCGATATCCACTGCCCGGCCCCTTTAAGCAAAGACGGTAAGAATTTTTGTAGGCAGAGCCTAGGTAGGGAATAACATATACAAACAAGATTCGGGTCAAACGCACCTAGCGGGCGCCGCGCAACATGTAAGATAATGAGTGTCCGTGAAGACGATTAGTGAGAGTAGGCGCCCGCCAGGTGTGACGACACTCACCTTAGTGTGATATCGCAACAACAGGGTAAACCAATAGCAAGTACAATGACAGGTATAATAACAACCTCAGATCAACGGTGAGTGCCGTCGTGTTTTTCAAGGCAAATGCAACGATCGCCATGCATAAGGAGAAAGGGAGTCACTGAGAGAATGTCTAGGGTTTCTTCCCAGGGTTTAGGCGTACCCGAAACCGTAGTCCTTGTCCCCACCACCCAGCAAATCCACGTCCCAACCCGTCCGTATTGTTAGCAGTTCTTGGGGTGCTGCCCGCGTTGTAGAAATTATTCACTGCGTGGAGCTCCCCATATGTGCATCTACTCGCATGGACCTGTCCGCCGTGAATGTCTAGGCGCAAGAGCTTTCGAATATTAACGGGCTTCAGTTGTAACGGTCTGGACATCAATCTAACTGCGAAAGAATTGGAGTGTGAATGAGCCTCAGTAGTACGAGCGCGTCTCTGTGCATGAGCCTGGGGCCTCCTGGGGCCTCCTGAAACCTACTGGGGCTTCCTGGGGTCTCCAGGAGCCTCTTGGGACCTCCTGGGACCTCCTAGGAAGGTTTCGTGCCCCAGGGGAGGCGCAATCTATAGCAACAGACGTACATAAAACATTGCGGATTAGAGCCACAGGAGAAGGGCAATCTATAGGAACACGCGTAACACACCAAGGACTCGTGCCCCAGGAGAGGCCCAATACATAGGAACATGAGTAAAACATTTAGGATTGTGTACACAGGAGAAGGACCATCTATATAAACATACGTAGAACATCAAATAATCGTGCTCCAGGTGAGGCCCAATCGATAGGAGCATACGTAAAACACATGGGATTGGAGCCACTCCTGTTGCCTTCTGAGGCCTCCTGCTCCTGGGGCCTCTCGGGGCCTCCTGTTGCCTTCCGAGGCCTCCTGGCGCTTCCTGTTGTCTCCTGGGGTCTCCTGTGGTTTCCTGAAGCCTTCTGGAGCTTCCTGGGGCCTCCTGGAGCCTCTTGGGACATCCTGTGGCCTCTTGAGTCTTTCTGTGGCCTCCTGATGCCTCCTGGGACCTCATGTGGTCTCCTGGAGCCTCCTGGAGCCTGTTGGAGCCTCCTGTGGCATCCTGAGAAGAATCTGCGCCCACGAGCCTGGCCACCAAAACTAGCAAACCGATCGAGACATCCTCAAAATCTGGCCCACCTGGGGGGTGAAAATGAGCGCCTCGCTCGAGACATCCTCCAAATCTGCTCCGAAAGCGAAGGATGTTGGGCACAGAAACAGGCAAACCGCCTGAGACATCCCCACAAAATGGCCGCGAACGAGCCCGTGCAACCACCCCTGAGGCGAGCATCCCCTGCTATGCTGAGAATGAACGAGCCCGTGCTGGCGGCTCCCCTTAGGGGTGCTGAAATGAGCGCCTCGCTCGAGACATCCTCCAAATCTGCTCCGAAAGCGAAGGATGTTGGGCACAGAAACAGGCAAACCGCCTGAGACATCCCCACAAAATGGCCGCGAACGAGCCCGTGCAACCACCCCTGGCGGCTCCCCTTAGGGGTGCTGAAATGAGCGCCTCGCTCGAGACATCCTCCAAATCTGCTCCGAAAGCGAAGGATGTTGGGCACAGAAACAGGCAAACCGCCTGAGACATCCCACAAAATGGCCGCGAACGAGCCCGTGCAACCACCCCTGGCGGCTCCCCTTAGGGGTGCTGAAATGAGTTGGGGTGCTGCCCGCGTTGTAGAAAATAAGTGTTGGATTGGTGATAATACAAGTGACGTGCAATGCTAAGGCACCGACTGGTGTTGTGTAGGCGAAACCTGAACTTGTTACTTAGAGTGAGGAGCCGCCAGCGTGTCGGTCAGGGCCACGGCGAGGGAAGGGTGCAAGACGCAACAGAGAAACAGTCAGAGAGAAGGGGATGCGAAGACAATGTGAGGCCAAAGGTAGCAGCTGCGGCCTCCGAGTAGCGGGGGCGTTTGTATTGTAAAAGGCCAGCCTTTGTTTTTGTCTTTAGCACTTCGTGGGATGCTGCCCGTGTTTGTAACTCAACGCAAGTCTGCCGCAGTCAAAGAGGTAGTCTGCGTACCCCAACCCTACTGCGAAGGAAGAGTGACAATGTTTGGGCTGCGACCCAGGGTTTTTCAGGCGTACCCCAGACCTGTGAATGTGAGATGTGTCGGTAATGCTGCTGCCCGTGTTGCATAAATTGATTGCACGGTTGGCCAAATCAAAAAGATGGCTTGCAATGCTAAGGCTGCGGCCCAGGGTTTTGTAGGCGTGCCCCAAGCTTGTTACTGAGGGCGAAGCCACCAGCGTGTCGGAGGTGGGCAAGCGTCGCACAGATGATGCGAGGCTAATGGTAGCGCTGTTGGTGCGCATGGCACCACGAGAAGCGACTGGTCATACTAAAAGGGTGGCTTGCCATACTAGGGCTGCGACCCAGGGCTTTGCAGGCGTACTCCACACATTGCTGGAGAGAGGAGCCACCAGCGTGTCGGACAGCGCGACGGAGAAAAAAGGGTGTAACTCGCATCGGTGGAGGACGATGTGAGGCCAAGAGTAGTAGTTGTTGGTGCGCAAAGTCCGTACTCGTGGGCAAACTGCTCACGCGCAGGGTATGGCACGTGAGAAGTCGACCTGCGCGAGGGTCCGTTAGGAGTGAGGGCTTATGCTGTAAACGACTGGCAACTATTGGGCTGCGACCCGGGGGTTTTAATGCGTACCCCAAACCTGTGTGGGTGAGGAGGAGATGTATGGAGGTAGGGCCAAGACTGCAGAGCGGGGTCAGACCCTGTTGGGTGGGGGCCCAAGTGCGTACTGCGTGCGACTGTAAAAGGAGGGTAGCCTGAATGAGGGCCCCGCAAAGGCGACTAGCAATGATGGGGCTGCGACCCCTGGCATTTAAGGCTTACCCCAAACTTGCATTCAGATGTGAGGGCCACCGGCGTGCCGGATCCGCGACAGCGAAAAGACGGGGTGTAATGCGCTTCAGAGATGAGAGTAAGAGGAAGAGCTGCTGATGTAAGGCCAACTGCTCTCGCGTAGGCGGAGGCACCGTAAGAGGACGGCCTGGTTCGCAGCATTACCAAGCGCGCACGGTGTGCGACTGATAAAGGAGAGTAGCCTGTATCAGGGTCCCCCAAAGTGACCAACAATACTAGCGCTGCGACCCAGGGTTTTTTAGGAGTGCCCCAAACCTGCATTAGGGAGTTAGGAGCGTGTCGGTTCCGCGTCAGGAGGAAGGGGGTGTAGTGCGCATCAGTGGTAGTAGTGTCACGGGGGGAGTCACTCATGTGTACGAAACTGTGCACTGTGCATCGACGAGGCTCAATTGTAGTCTTTTTGCGGTAACAGAAGAGGTAGGAGTACTGGAGGCGAATGTGGTGATGCTTGCTACCATGCTTGATCATTACATGGCTTGATCTGTGTCAGTACGGCTCGTCGGCTTGGGTTTGGGTAGAATCTTGTCAGTCGTACAGTATGTTTGGGAGGAGGCTTTGAATGGTGCACCGTGTGGATGGTCGTGGAGGCTGTTGATGTAGATGTCGTATCGCGATTGGTGCGAGCGGAGCCTGTCGATGTAGGTCTGGAATGTCGGGTCGATTATGGTGTTGACGAAGATGATGCGTCGTTGAAGATGAGAATGTGTTGGTATCCTCTTCTTGATGTTGCGTTGTGTGTGGCGATTGTTTGTGCTGGCGCAGGTTTGTGGGGCATGTTTTTTGCTGGGTAGCTCCTGTATCCACTGCTGCGTCCTGATATCTGCGTCTGGAGGGCAGATGATGGGTACAGGTGGTGGTGAGCGGGTTGGTATGATGAGTTTGAAAGGTGACCCATTCTTGATAGCTGTGGCTTGTGGTGCGCGTGTTGCCCTCCTCCTCCTCGTCCTCCTCCTCCTCCTCTTCCTCCTCCTCCTCCTCCTCCTCCTCCTCCTCCTCCTCCTCCTCCTCCTCTTATTCCCTGACACACTCTCCCCCATTTTCCCCTGCCTCCCTGCCCCCTCCTGCCTGCAGGGGCGCATTCCATGGGAATCTTGTGTAGCCCGATCCACTCCTCTGTAGCTCCTGGGCTCAGACGATGGAAAAGGTTTGACTTCCGCGAAGCCCATCCACCACTCTTGGGCCTGGGGCGTACTCCCGAGTTCGAACTCAGGGGGGAGGGAGGCCTCGCGTGCGCCTCCTGCTTGCATTGGTTCGGCACGCTCCACGACTGCGACACAAAAGAGCCGAGGGGGAAAGAAGGAGAGCGAACCACCCCGACCTCCCACTCACCCTCCGGCTTCCTCCTCCAGCCCCATGGGAGCCGCGGGCGCCAGACAGGCTTGGCTGCCGCCGAGATCAGCGTGGCCCCCGCGAACCCCCCGGGCAGCCTGCCCAGAGCGAGGACCTGCACCAAGGAGCCTCCCCCCTCCCTGCTCCTGGCATTGCTCCTCCCCCCCAGCCCCCCCCCTCTCGTCACCGAGGAGGAGTAGGAGGAGGAGAAGGAATAGGCCACAGAGCAGACCCAGAACACCGACGATTCTGCAACACACCCTCCCGTCCCAAGTCCCCTCCTCAGAAGTCCGTGCAAGTGCTGTTTTTTACTGCGAGGTGCGCCCCCACGAAACACAGGCGCCCCGTGGGACTGCTAGTCAGGCGAGAACACCTGTTCAACAAGGATCCGCCCTCCACCCTTGTAACAGTTTACGGAAACATGTAGGAACAGAAAATTCAAGTTCTCGAGCGAAGCCTCCGTTTTAAACACTCACCCGTGTAAGTGTTGCGCTTGCGTGATCCAGGCCAGCCAGGCTTGATATGGTACCAAGCGAGAGACCGACAGTTGTGAGAACGAACCAATGTCGATCCGCCTGGTTGTTGCAGATGTTGAAAGAGTTTGCAACATATGAAAGAGTACCAAGCCGTTTGCCCACTTTGGAACATGTAGCAACGCACCATTCGTTTTGTTGCAAGCAGGTGCTCCAAGCACTTGGGAGAAATGCGCGGGGCGCCACGAGCCACACATATCGAGCAGCAACACAATGTGACCTCAACACGCGCAACAGTTCACAAGCTCATAACGTTTAGTGACGATTGAGGCGAAACGCCCTTCCCACCCTACTCACGTCTGATGATGCGAGGAGGAGGAACTACTTGTCAGAGCGGGGGGAGCCAGACGGTCTGACATTACCTTGTGGGCGCGTGGCTGTTAGTTTTTTCGCTACCTGCTATTTCTACCGAGTCGCTATTTACGGTTTACGAAAGATGGTCCAGGCATTCTGGCTTAGGCACGGGTTGTATGCTCTTTGAGAGCGAAGGTTTCGCTTGAGCGCGTGCGTGATTCTCAACCTGCGCCCTAAGCTTAGGAGGCCCCAGGACAACAACAAGCCAAGATATATCGACGATGCGGATTGCACCATCAAGTAGGAAATATGTTCCCAACCTAGACACAACATTTCAATGACAATTTGCGGGTTGATCAGGACGCGCGCTGCGAATGTCTCGCATGGCAGCCATCATTGCCGCGGCCATCCCGCGCGCGTTGCGCTGCGCCGTATTGTGTGAGGTTCAAAGGTACGGGGCCGCGCTGTTCGAAACAAGCGCGTAGTGTTGGGGGGCATAAATAAATTCAGGATTGCAGCGCGAGCGTCTTCTAGTAGTCTACAGGGCGGCCCGCGGATCCTATCGCGCGCGGCGCTTTCTGCCGGCTGCAGCTTTTGGATCGGGGCCGAGCAAGTGGCGGGGCCCCGCCCGCCAGGCCAGCGCGCGGTAAAGATGGGTGAATCTGAAGCCTTGCGCGGGAGCGGGGATTTATTTCGCAGATTTAGAGAGCCACTTCGGGGTGCCCCCCCAGGCCCGCCAGGGGGCCGGCCGCCTGGGCCGTCCGTGGGGAGCGCCGCGACCCGCCCGCGGGCCTGCCAGCGGCTGGCCAGGCGGGCCTTCGACGGGAGGGCCAGGGCGGCCGGCCCACATTTGCGCGCGCCGGCGCGGATAGGGCCCGAATTTGCAGAACGCGCCGGCGCGGCCGGGCTCAAATTCGCACGCGCCGGCGCGGCCCGGCCTGAATTTATAAGGCGCGCCGGCGCGGCCCGCCCAGATATGCAACGCGCGCCAGCGCCGCCCGGCCCGGAACTGCCGCGCGCGGCGCTTCCGGGCGCCGGCGGGCCGCCTGAGGGGGGGGGAGTTTTGGCGCCGTTAAACCTACCCCCCGGAATGCCCGCAGGACCGCCGGAGGGGAACTAAAAAAGTTCCTTCCCGGACCACTTGAAAGCTACAAAAAGCGACTTGAAGCTTGAAAAGGCGGCATGGAAGCTAACAAGATTTACGTTTAGCCAAACAAAGCTAGTTTTAGTTCTAAAAAGCAAGAAAAGGAACCCCGATGACGTACCAAATGCTATATCGGAGTTCCTTTTCGGCTCGCCGGGCCGCCCCCTGGGCCCGCCCGCGGGCCCGCCCCGGCGGGCCGCTGGGATCCGCCGGAGGCCCCCCCGGCCGGGCCCGCCGGCGGCTGGCCAGACGAAGCCCCAGGCGGCCACGGGGCCCGCGGGGGCCGGCGCAGCCGGCTTGGATCCGATTTGCAAAACGCGCCGGCGCGGCCCCGGCCCGAATTTGCAAAGCGCGCCAGCGAGGCCGGGCCCAGATACATGATGGCGCGCCGGCGCGGCAGGGCCGACGACGAAACGTTCTGGCGCGGCTGGGCCCGAATGCGCGACGCGCGCCGGCGCCGGGCTCGGCGTGAGCGAGGGGCGGGGGGGGAGGGGGAAGAAGAAGTCGGGGAGGAGGAGGGGAGGGGGAGGAGGAGGAGGAGGAGGAGGAGGAGGAGAAGGAGGAGAAGGACGAGGAGGAGGAGGAAGAGGAGGAGGAGGAGGTGAACGGGGGAATGGAGGAGGAGGAGGAGGAGGAGGAGGAGGAGGAGGAGGAGGAGGAGGAGGAGGAGGGAAGGGGGGGAGCAGGAGGAGGAGGGGGCTGGGGCGGCGGAGGGAGACGACGACGACGACGACGACGACGACGACGACGACGACGACGACGACGACGACGACGACTGCGAAGGGAAAGGGGCGGGAGAGGCAGGCGAGTGGTTGGCGGCAGGAGAAGGCGCCGCCTCGGCACGGCGAGATGGGCGCACGACGGGTAGAGGGGGCGGAGGTCGGGAGAAAGAGGAGGAGGAGGAGGAGGAGGAGGAGGGACCGAGACGAGGAAGGGGAAGGTTGGTGATGGGGCTGAGGAAGAAAAGGTGGAAGAGGCATTGGGGCGTGTCGCGTGCAACACCGCGCCGCGACCATCGCCGTGGCGTCGCGCGCAGAACCCGGCGGCATTAATTATCAATTGTTGATTCGCTGGCGCGCGGGGCCGTGGTTTGATGCGGCGCGTCGCCGCCGCGGGGTCGACGTTGCCCATCGCGCGGGCGGGCGTTCCCGTCGATTCGGGAACTAAGCAAAAAGTTGTTGCTATCTCAGAGAAGTGTTTTTCCCACCTCACACTGCTGCATTGATCTTCAGCTGCTTAATTCCATCCGGGGTCGCAACAATGGGCTCGCAATCAGACGAGGAAACTTCGTTTTGAAGGGGGCCGCCCGCCCCCCATCGTTCGAGATACAAGGAGAGACAAGGTGGGGTGGGCACTAAGTTCAAGGACGTGCCGATTGACAGCCCCGCCTTGAAAAAGTGAAACGTCATGCATCGGCGTGGCTGTTGCACCACGTCGAATTTCAAGTGGCAAACAGAAATGACGCTCCAGGCGAAAGCCCCATTTTGAAATGGAGCCGACCACCATCCATCTAACTATTAGACTACATACAACTGTGGTGATACAGTTGGAGGGAGTCTCAGGAAAGAGCCCCATGTTGCAAGCGATCTGGCCTCCATCAGCGCAGATGCCGGGAGCGATGATGATGGTGGTGCGCGGCGCGGAATCGAGCGCCACAGTTTGGAGACGGCTATGGCTATGATGAATGGTTGACGCTTCGCGTATCCGCACCAGCGGATTTGGGAGTTTCGGTGTTGCCTCTTTTCCTGAGTGGCTTCCCGGTCGTTCGTTTCGCTTGTTTTTAGCCCATCCACAAACGATCAGCAAAGGAGTCGGTGAATCAGGGAAGGCAAGACGCATGCAGTTGCGCAGCCGTCCTCGGGAAAACAAGGATCACAAAGAGCTTCCCGCACTGCAGTTTCAGATGGAAGTCAGTGCAAGCTACGGTGGTGCTTCGATGAGGGGTGAGGGGTGTTTCGATGACTCGTAATGGCAGTTGCACTGACTTGTATCTCAAACTCGCGTTCATTTCGAAACTTGGAACCATATTGGGGTTCTCTTTGGGTTCTCTTGGGGCCCTCTTGGGGCCCTCCTGGAGCTCTTTCTTGGAACTTTCTTGAGGTCCCCCCAGGGCCTTCTTGGAACCTTCTTGGGCCTCATTTGGGGCGTTTGGGGGCCCTCTTGGGGCTCTTTTGGGGAATCTGGTGGCCTTTGGGGGGCTCTTCTGGGATGCCTGAGGGGCTTTTGGGACCGTCTTGGACCCTATCGCTAAAAAAGACGGGGGTCCTTAATTTCCATCGCCCCTTCGGAGGCTCAAACATGCCGTCTTGGGGCTCTCTTGGCCCGCTCTTGGAGCGCTCTTGGGGCCGTCTTGGGGCCCTCTTGGACCCCTCTCGGGGCTATCTTGGGCCGTTTGGGGGCCATCCGGAGGCCTCAAGAACCCATCGGAGGCGAAAAAGCGAGAAGGCAAAAAAACATGTTGGACGTGTGTCGGAGGCTATTTTGACCCATTTACCGCTGTCTTCGGCCATCTTGGAGGCCATCTTGCGCTTTCTGAAGCCCTCTTGGAACCATCTTGGACCAAAAAGGACCCTATGCCACCTCGCGGGGGAGCCCATCCAGACGCAGGGAGGGGGGAGAGGTAAACATCCCGAACATGGAAAGGCAGGATGTTGGAAAAGGAAACGCTCTAGACCACCTGCGCCCCAGAGGGCTGGTGGGATTGCGAAGGCCTTGCGGCCGGCGCCGCCGAACCTGAAGGGGGACGACGACGACGACGACGACGACGACGACGACGACGACGACGACGACGACGATGCTCACGTGAACCAGAGTCCTCATGGATTCTGTTCGGGGTCTCTTCGGAGCGCTCTCGGAAGCTTCTGGGGCCAGTTTCGGGGGCCCTTTGGGAACATCGTGGAGGCCTCTTTGGAGCCTCTTGGGAGCCTCGCGGGCCTTCCTGGGGGCCCCTTTGGAGCTTCTTTGAACCTCTTACGGGCCTCTTGGGGGCCTCCTGGGGCCTCCTAGGAGCCTCTCAGGTCCGAGGGCTCGGAATGTCCGTTTGGTTCCCTTGTCTGGGCACTTTCTTGGAGCCCTCTTGGGGGCCTCTTGGGCCGTCTTGCAGGCGTCTTGGGCAGTGTTCGGGCCCCCTTTGGCACGTTTCGGGACCCTCTTGGAGGCCTCTTGGGGCGACCGTTGGAGCCTCTTTTTGGAGCGTCGGGAAGCTGAACAGGCGAGAACGCCAAACAGATCGTTGGAGAATCAATGAGTGTTGCCTCTTGGGGCTCTCTTTGGAGTGCTCTTCGAGACCTCTTGGCGGGTCGTCCAGCCCTCCTGGGCCGTCTGGAGGCCGTAAACATGTCTTGGACCGATCGATCGTTCAGCGATTCGGGGTCCTCTTGGACCGTCTTGGGGGCCTCTTGGGGCACTCTTGGCTCGTCTTGGGACGTTTTTTAGGCCCCGGGCCCCCACATGGGGGGGTGGTATTCTGACCCGGGACCCCCCCGCGACACCCCTAGGACCCCCCCTCGATTTCCCTCCGACTCACGGCGTTGCTCAATTTCGTTTTGGCTGGCGCGCTTGAGGAGGAGGGCCCACGAAAAGAGGAAGGCGGCGACGGGCCCAGGGAAAGAGAGGAAGCGGCGACGGTGACAACGACGACGACGTCGACGAAGACGAGTCAAACGGAGCAGCCTCTTCCACACGCCGACAGGGTCGGCGGATGTTTTGAAGCTAGTATGACGAATGTGTACCGCGCAAACGTGAGAACCACAGGTTGAAGACCGCCAGCCCTCCAACTGTTGGCAGCCCGAATTTTCGGGATAATAAGTTGGAGTCGGGCGAAACGCCCCGCCCGTCTTAGCGGCGCGACATGAAGGAGTTATTCAGAATCAAGGGGGGCGAAAGAAAGTTAGAGAGGAAGAGGAGGAGGGAAAAGAGGATGCGAAGTACAAGAATAATAATAATCACGCTGAGAGGGTGAGGAGGAAGATGGAGAAGAAGGAAGGACGACGACGAGGAGAGGGAGGGGGAGGGTGTGGGGGTGGAGGAGAAGGGACTTGGAGCGGCGCGGGGAGGGCGCGAGGAGCTCCGCCTGCCGAAGTACTCCAGCGCGGAGGAGCTGGAGGAGAGGCTCAACTGGGCCATTGACAACGCCGAGGCGCCACGGTGGCTTCTTTTTGAAGGAGGAGCGGATGGGAAGCAGCATGAGGACGACGAGGACTACGATTACGACAGCGACGACATCGACGGACACGGCGGCGACGGTTACGGCGGCGGCGGCGACGGCTACGGCGGCGAGGTGGAGGAGGAGGGAGGAGGGGAGGAGGGGGTTGAGGACGACGACGACGGCAACGATGAAGGAGGCGATGAGGTTGATGAGTGCGTTGACGATGATGATGATTATGATGATGTTGATGCTGATGATAATGATGATGAGTATGATGATGATGATGATGATGATGATGATGATGATGATGATGATGAAGATGATGATGATGATGGTGATGGTGATGATGGTGATGATGACGACGACGATGATGATGATGATTATGGTGATGATCATGATCATGATGTTGATGTTGATGATGTCGACGTTGTCGATGCTGATGTTGATGTTGGTGGTGGTAATGATGATGACGACAATGATGACGACGATGATGTCGATGGTGATGCTGATGATGGTGGTGGTGCTGGTGATGGTGATGAAGAAGATGATGATGATGATGATGACGACGATGATGATGATGACGACGATCATGATAATGAGCCAATGACGATGATACTGAAGCTGAAGCTGATACTGATGCTGATGCTGATGATGGTGCTAGTGGTGACGGTGGTTGTGATGACGATGATGATGGTAATTATGCGTATGACGATGATGCTGATGATGGTGACTATGACTAGGATTATGACTACGACTAAGACTATGGTGATGATGGCGACGACAATCATGATGATGAAATGGTGGTGGTGATGCTGATGGTGATGATGGTGGTAATGCTGAGTATGACGACGATGAGGATGATGGTGAGGATGATGGTGATGATGATGCGCGTGGTGGTCATTGTGATGATGACGATGGTGATGGTGGTGATGATCATGATGATCAGATGATGGTGACGATGGTGATGGTGACTTTGACTAGCAGTCTGCCTGTGAATATGATGACGACGGCGATCACGATGTTAATGGTGGTGATTGTGATGATGTTGATGCTGTTGGTGGTTGTGATGATGGTGAATATCAGTATGACGTTGCTGGTGATGTGGGTTGTGGTCATGATGATGTTGATGATGTTGACTATGACCATGAGTATGAGGATTGTAATGACAATGGTGTTGATGATGAAGATGATGATGATGACGCTGCTGATGATGATGGCGGTGATGATGATGATGACGGTGATAATGATGATGATGATGATGATGATGATGGTGATGATGATGATAATGATGATGATGAGAATGATGAGAATGATGAGAATGAGGATAAGGGCAAATTTAGTACGAGGATGGGTAGAGGAGCAGCAGAAGCAGAAAGAGGAGCAAGAGGAGGAGGGGCGGACAAGTGGAGTGGGACGAGGGACGAATAAGGGGAAGGGAAGTGCACTTCGGCGATGAGGAGTGAGGCTGGGGATGGGGAGGAGGACGGTGACTGGGGATGGCAGAGGAGGAGGAGGAGGAGGAGGAGGAGGAGGAGGAGGAGGAGGAAGGGGAGGGAGGAGGAGGAGGAGGGAGGAGGAGGAGGAGGAGGAGGAGGAGGAGGAGGAGGGGCAGCAGGGGGAGGAGTAGGAGGAGGAGCACGAGTAGACAACGAACGGGACGCTCTGTACTCACGATGTGCATGGCATTATGTTTGCGAAGTCGGCGGGGGAATGTTTGAATGATTTCGAGCGGTGTGCTTGGCTGCTTGCCTCCAGGCTCCGTTTGGGGTACCCATTCTAGATCGGGCCTGGCCGAGGCGACCAGTTTGCCATGGATCTTCCATCCATCCCCCCTCCTCGCCCCTCCCTCCCTCTTGCTCTCGCCCTCTTCTTCCCTCCCTCCCGCCCTCTCCCCTTCCCAGCCTCCCCTCCATTCCTCGTCCTATGCATCCCACCAGCCGTAGTCCCCCCCCGCTCTCGCCATCTTCCGCCAGAGCCCGCCACGCCTCCCGCAGGGCTTGTACGAGTACGACCGCTTGGGTTAGCTCTGAGCCCCTGGCGTGCAGAGCGCAATTTGGCAGTCGCCCTAGCGACGAGCACAGAGAAGAAGGAGGGAGAATAATGCAGGAGTAGACAGCGGAGGAGCAAAAGAAGAAGATGAGGAGGGCTTTGTATTGTTCGCTGGACGGGTCGGATGTAACGTTCCAGATGGGGGCACTATCTACGGGCCGGCCAGGTGGTCAGTAGGATTATGTTCGAATCAGGGATATGGACAGACGAGGAGGAGGATCTGATCGCGGAAGTAGAGGAGGGGACGAGGAGCAGGGCTGAGCAGAAGGACGGAGAAGGAGGGCGAAAGAGGAGCGCGAGGAGGGGGGGAGCACGAGGAAGAAGCAGATGGAGCAGCTGCCGCGGGAGGGCGACCGCGGGAGGGCGACCGCGGGAGAGAGGCAGCGGCAGGGAGCACGAGAGGCAGGGCAGCGGAGGCCCTCGCCGCCCGAGCCCTCCCCCGGCCCACTGCCGGGGGAGGCGCCCGGCCTGCCTCGCGAGGCGCCGCCCTCGCGGCCAGCCGGCTGCATCGGACCGGCGGCCGCGGGCGACGGCCCCCTCGGGCCCGCCGCGCGCCGCGCGGGCCCGAGGCGCGCGCCCGGCGCGCTCCCGCGGCCTGCGCACGGGGCCGCCGGCAGGGCGCCCACACCCGATCCGGTGGCGCTGCCGCGCACGGATCCGCCAGGGAGCAGGCGGGGAGAAAAAAAGCACAGACACAGGCACAGTGGATCGCGGGTCCCCCAGAAGGTGTCTGGGAAAGCATGGGAAGTGGGGGGGAAGACGGAAACCCAGAAAATATGGGGAACCATGGGGAGTCTGGTTATTTGTGTCCATTGATTTGTGTGTCCCAGTTCCCCTTCAACAGACCCAGAGGGCCTGGGAAGAACCCTGGACCTCCAGCGTCACGAAATGATCGCCACGGCAGGCGCACCGAATAAGAAAGTGACATGCCAGCAGGTGCCCCACCGAAGTTTCTGGTCCCCGATGGCCCCAGGCACTCACGGAAGCTCTGGGGCACCTCAGAGCCTTCACAGATCGACGGGTAGTGTACCCCAAGATTTCTAGTAGTAAGATCTCTCTTTTATCTCAAGTGTCCACTGTACCGCCGGCGTTCCTATTGCTTCGGCGTTCTGGTGCGGTGTTCGGGCCCCTGCCCAATGAGAAAGTTCATATCCACGATGAGGAGAAGTCGGTCCTGCGCATGGGGTCGAGAGCTCTGGCGCAGCCGTCGTGAAAAGCCACCGCGTCACAAGTTTTTGGGTCATTCGCCCACGTCCTGAAGGGAGGCGAGGGTGTCGTCACGGAAGGGAGTCGTCACAGAAAGATACGGTTTGGCCGCGGCCGAGGGGGAGCGGGGAGAGAGCGGAGGGGGCACGGATGGCCCCACAAGACAAAATGTTTTTGACATCGCGTGTCCGTCGGAAGGCCAACAGACCGCGGGTGACCCCAATCGGGAGCCCTCTCTGGAACGAACATCAATTACATAAAGGATCGGTGCGTGATTGCACGCAAGGTCATGCCTAGATCGCGCTAAAGCCAAGCGAGAGGCAAAGGAAGAACGGTGCCATGTGCTGGGGCGGTGTGCTGCATGTTTGGTTTCATATGAATGTGAGTGTTTGGGTGTGTAGCGCTTTGGATCGCTGTGCTGCGTGTTGTTGTGCTTCGCTTCGCTCTGAATAGCTCTGATGCGAGGCGCCTTACATTGCATTGGCATTGTATCCTTCACTGGGTCCCAGGAAGGAGAGGGGAAAGGACCACGGCCTCGGATTAAAGTTGACATTTGCCGTCTGGGCAAAGCGTGATGACTTGTGAGTTCCTGTCTGTGGACTTGGAGCCAGAATCTGCCGCATGTTAGCCTCGATACGTTGGGAGGGGCCATGACCGACTCTTCGCAAGAAAGGGAATGGGGGAAAAGGCAGGGGGCCCGACACATGCCAGCCGCATCACAGCGTGGCGGCGGATCTGTAAACGGGCGTGCGGACAGCGAAAAGCGGGTGGGGAGGGCAGGGATGGGAGAGGGGGAACAGGTTTTTCTCTCTGAAAGAGCGTGATTTTCTGAATTCGCAAAACAAGTTTCCAAGCATTGGCGCGCCTGGGGGTGGCTCGCCAGGCATGCAAAGCAGGCAATCAGCAACCAGCATCATAGATGGCAGTGCACGGGGAGGAGCAGTTTCAACGCAGGTGCGCCATCTGACCAGAAGCATTTAGGCCCGAGAGTTGCCTTGAGCGGCGTGCGTCGCAGCCTAGCCCCTGTCTGATGGGCACGTGCCGCACCCCTTGGGCACGCCAGTCTGGTGGGAAGGGATACATCGAGGGAAGACGGGGATCCGTAGGAGAGGGCCGATTAGGAGGTTGAGAAGGAGATGCAGGGAGAGTTCGACAATGTGAAGGCGAGGAGGACGTGGGTACAACGAAGTTTCCAGTTGGATCGCCACTCAGCCAATATGTATTGCAAATGTGCGGATACTTAGAGAGGCAGGGAGAATCTCTCTCTCCCTCACTCCCTCTCTCTATCTCCCTCTATTTCTCCCTGTATCTCGATATTTGTACCGTAGCGCCCCGCAGATGCGGGTAAGAGTGATGGGGGCGGTGGGGACATCGGCAGTTTGCGAGACTCTGGAGAAGCTCGCCGCAGGCGCCAAAGTTTCACACATTATTCAACGGGCCCGCCACGGGCGCCGATTTTTTCGTTAAACCAATGTGGGTACGTCGCGGGTGGGTCGCAAACGGGTCGGGGGTGGGTCGGTGTTGGGTCGCGGGTGGGTCGCAGATGGGGCGCAGGTGTAGAGGGCAGAAAAGTCACCCCAATAATAATCAACCCGGCAAGGAATGAAATCGAACATGACGGGGCTGTTTAGTCAACGCACAGGGCCATTTAGCAAACGTCAACTGTCGGGTCCGGGTGGTTTTTCCTCCCTTGAGGGTGGGTCGCGGATGGGTCGCGGATGGGTCGCGGATGGGTCGCGGGTGGGTCGCGTGTGGGTCGCGGATGGGTCGCGGGGTGGGTCGCGGATGGGTCGCGGGTTGGTCGCGGGTGGGTCGCGGGTGGGTCGCGGGGTGGGTCGCGGAGTGGGTAGCGGGTGGGTCGCGAGGTGGGTCGCGGTTTGGGTCGCGGTTTGGGTCGCGGGTGGATCGCGGGGTGGGTCGCGGGGTGGGTCGCAGGGTGGGTCGCGGGGTGGGTCGTGGGGTGTGTCGCAGGTGTGTCGCGGGTGGGACGGCGACAACAATCAACAACAAACAGCAACAACCAACATTGACAACAAGAACAATAACAATAACAACGCCAACAACAACACCACCAACAACAAAGCAACAACATTATCAACAACAACATCCATAATTCTAAGATTGTTCGCTCTTACTTGCCCGCGTGCCATTCAAAACGAGTCCCCAACACCCTCGATACCCGCCCTTTTCGTCTTCGATCACACCCCCTTTTGGTGTATTCTTTCTCTTTGCGGGGGGCGGCGGGCTTAGACAGGCGGGCAAACCTGAACGGGCGGACAATCCTTCGTGGGCGTACATGTGCCCGCCATTGGAATTGGTGTGGGCCCTGCAACAAGAGGGGGAGAACGAGGGCGAGTGGGAGGAAGGGAGGGGCAGGGACGAAGGAACAGGGAGAACGCCAGGAGAGAAGGAGCGAAGAGGGGGGCGGTTGATTAGAGGCAGAGAGAGAGAGAGGAAGAAAAAAAGGACAGATACGAGAGGTAGAGAAAAGAGAGGGGGGGAGAGAGAGAGAGAGAGAGAGAGGGGAGAGAGAGAGAGAGAGAGAGAGAGAGAAAAAGAAAGAGGGAGGGAGGAGGCAGGAGAGGGGAGGGAGAAGGGAGGAGGGAGAGGAGGGAGAGGGGATAAGGCAGAGAGGCATAAGGATGAGGGAAGATAAGAGAGAGAGAGAGAGAGAGAGAGAAACAAAAAAAAAAGAGAAAGAGAGAGAGAGAGAGAGAAAACAAAAAAAAAAGAGGGGAGAGAGGAGGGAGGAGGGAGGGGGAGGAGGAGCAGGAAGGTAAGAGCGTGAACGTTCGAAGAAGTCCTACGCGAAAGCGCCGTTCCTGAAGGAAGTCTCGGGCGGGAGCCCACGACGGGCGGGCGATCCCTTGACGGGCGGGTCGGGCGGGTGGGACATTATTCAAGCGGGATGCCTGAGTACGGCGAGAGCGCGATTACTAAGTAAATTATAACGGCGTCCTTGGCGCAGCGTGTTTCCTGAGCATCGAAAGCGCGATTTCTGAATGAATTGTATGGAAATCACAGGCGAAAGCGCAATTCCTGCATAAAATGTGAAGGGCTCTCTGGCGGGATCGGGGGTATTGATTAAATTGCGAGGAAGTCTTGATTCAATTGTGAGGACGTCTCAAGCGGGAGCGCCGTTCCTGAGTAAATTGTGAGGAAGTCTCAGATGGGAGCGGGGGTCCTGACTAAATTGCGAGGAAGTCCTAGGCGGGAGCACCGATCCTGAGTAAATTGTGAGGAAGTTTCAGGAGCGGGGGTCCCGAGTAAATTTGGAGGAATTCTCAGGCGGGAACCGTTGTTGTTGTAATCCGGGGGAGCCAGGGGCACAGTTTGAGTACCAAGACTTTCCCTGTCAAAAAACAGGGTGCGAGCGTCGAGGGGCACACGCTGATTGAGAAAAGCAGCATGCACCGGTGAGGGGGGATCAACAATAATTATTCTTTAGAAGTGAGGGCTCGACAACAACAACAAAAACAACAACAACAACAACAACAACAACAACAACAACAACAACAACAATCATTTTACCCGAACGCTCAGTGTTCTCACCAGTGCCAGGGTTTTCATGCGACGCGAGACAATACCCCCACTTCGTGGGGGGGCAGTTCAAGCTCTACCAAATATCCAAACGACTCTTCGCGACCACCCAAACCCAGCTTCCCGCCCTATGACGTTGGGACACTTCACTTCGTGGCGTGCGGACGACCGTGGCTACTACACTGGCGTGGGGTACACACCCACAGAACTTGGTCACTTATTCGGGGCGCGCGTGTGCCCAGCATCCTGCAATTGTGACATACAATACATGACACAGACAGACAGAGAGAGAGACAGAGAGCAGACAGAGAGAGAGACAGAGAGAGCGGAGTTGGTCACATTTTTGGGGCAAGTTCCTGAGATCGTCGTGTTTTTTGTTGGTCTTGCGCGCGCGAATGTCCACTTTACTTTTTTTTGCAAGGGAGTATTGAAATTTGATTATGTTAGAACAAGAAAAAGTAGCTCGCGCGAGCTCATGTAACATAAATGTTGAAAAACCATTGGTTTTGTGGGAGTCGGACAGCGCGCGCGGGATGAAATTTGGACATTTTTTTTTTGAAAAACCATTGGGTTTTTGATGTTTTTATGTTGAAATCGCTACGAAACCTAAGGTTCTGGAAGGATTTCGTCTTGCGCGCGCGAATGTCCACTTTACCTTATTTTTTGCAAGGGATTATTGAAATTTGATTATGTTAGAACAAGAAAAAGTAGCTCGCGCGAGCTCATGTAACATAAATGTTGAAAAACCATTGGTTTTGTGGGATTCGGACAGCGCGCGCGGAAGGACATTTTGACAATTTTTTTTTAAAAAACCATTGGGTTTTTGATGTTTTTATGTTAAAATCGTTACGAAACCTAAGGTTTTGGAAGGATTTCGTCTTGCGCGCGCGAATGTCCACTTTACCTTATTTTTTGCAAGGGATTCTTGCAATTTGATCAAGTAAGAACAAGAATTTCATTTTATAGTGTTTTTTGCAAGGGAAAACGGATTACAACAAAACAACCGGATCCGGACACAATCCACTTTTCTGAAGCTTTCGCGAAAAAAATGATGAAAATGTAGCTGCGGCCTAGGCGGCGCAGGGGGCGCGCACCAGGGGTCCCAACAATAATTATCTTTAGAATTTAGTGTTCAACAACAATTACTAGCACGTGGGGACACTCCGTTCTCACCAGTGCCAGGGTTTTCATAGGAGGCGGGCAATACCCCCACTTTGTGGGGGGGCCGGTTCAAGCTCTACCAAATTTCCAAACGACTCTTCGCCACCACCCACACCCAGCTTCCCGCCCTATGACGTTCGGACACTTCACTTCGTGGCATGCGGACGACCGTGGCTACTATTCAGGGCCCCGCGGCCGACGACGACGGCGTGCGCGCGCGAAGAAAAAACGAATGTGTCCCGCATGGTATTATTTGACAGGGATGATGGCCCTGGCAGGTGCGCAACCGTTGTTGCAGAAGTTCGAAAAAGTTGCTCGCAAAAGCCCGTTTGACAGAAATGTTTAAAAAGTGTTGGGTTTCCTACGAATCCGCAAGAGCGCGCGGGATGAAATTTTGACATTTTTTATATATATATATATATATATATATATATTTAAAAAAAAAAAAAAAAATGTTTTTTGATGTTTTTATGTTAAAATCGCTACGAAAACTAAGGTTTTGGACGGATTTCGTCTTGCGCGCGCGAATGTCCACTTTACCTTATTTTTTGCAAGGGATTCTTGAAGTTTGGTTATGTTAGAACAAGAAATGTCCACTTTAGCTTATTTTTTGCAAGGGAAAACCGATCGTAACAACACAACCGGATCCGGACTCCCCCGTTTTGCCTGAGACTTCCTCACGAAAATGATGAAAATGAGGCTGCGGCCTAGGCGCGGCGGGGGGGTCGTGCACCAGGGGCCCCAACAATAATTATTCTTTAGAAGTAATAATGTTCAACAACAACGACGCAACAAGCAGAATTCTCACCACGAGTTCCTTTTTCAGCCACGCACCCAGGGACAATGAATGATCGTCCGGCCCCCTCCTTCTGATTACGCGCTCATGCGGATGCTACAGGCACCTAATCACGAGTCGCCGAAATACACACAGACACACTTTACTCCTCCGCGATGTTATAGCAACAATCGGTCAGACGCGAATGGGCCACACACACACACACACAAACGCGCACACACACAAACATCCACACAGGCACAAGTACGCAAACGCACACATACACACACACACACACACACAGTTCGAGCGCATGCGGCCGGGGCGAAGAGCCACTCGGAGCGATCTAGTGACACTTACACACACACACACACACTCGATCGTAAGTCGGCAGGGTTGCGCGCGGCGCCGCAACCAGGACCGTGCGCTGGCGGCCGTGGCACCGATACACACACGCAGACGCGTTTTCTTGAGAAGTTGACGCCTTCCGTTCGTCCGTTTCGGACAAAGGCCAACATTCAATTCAAAGTAGATATTATCCAAGGGGTGAAATAGAGTGAGATGCACCAGCAAGCATGATACTAGAATGGCCGCGTATCAAACACGCGCACTCGCGCACCGACAAAGGGTGAGGCAGGGGCAGGAGCAGACTGAGAGGCAAGGACAGAGCGAGAGAGGGAGAGCCGAGGAAGGCAGCCGTGAGCAGCGGAGTGCAGCGAGTCCACTCAGTCAATCGGAGCCCGCGCGCCCGCAGCGAGGCACGAGACAGGCCGTGGCCCGCTGCTGCCCGAGAAATCAGCGGCGACCACTCGCAGACCGCAGAACTTGCCGTTTCGCAGGGGCGCGGAGGAAGGAGGTAGGTGGAGGAAGGACCAGTTTACACCCAAAACACATCAACGATGTTGCACTAAAACGCATCGACGATGTTGCAATACCCCCCTTCCTCCAAGCTCCCTCTTCATAGGGCCCACAAGAGATGATTTGCATTGTGGGGAATGCCGCATTGGAAAACAACCGCCTGCGAATTCTCAGCCGCGCCAAGACAACTGTTGGGACTGAATGTCGCGAATCACGTCGTGACAACCCTTAACCGTGCTAGAACACCATCCCTTAGACTTCACAACAGGGAGTCAGCGTGATTGTTGCGCCCTGACAGTCCTAAATATTTAAAGCTTGACAATAGCATTCCTGGGACGTCGCCCATGCGAATCTATGACACGTTTGCACATGTCCCAAACGAATGTGTGCGGCGCCACGGAGAGTGCCACAATGTGATCCAGAAACGCCTTTCATCTTTGAAACCGACGTCGAGTGCGCTCGGCGCAAGGGCGAGAGCCACATGTTGAAAATTGCATTCCTGCCATCCGTGAAACGGTCGACATGTTCAAGACGAGTGCACGCGGCGCTAAGGCGTTCCGCCCGCCCTCAATCCTTGAAGTTGCTACAAATTTTCAAGACGAATGTGGTCGGCGCTGAGGCGAGCGCCACATTTTGAATACGGTCCGCCCTCGATCCTTGAAGCTGCTGCCAATCCCAAGCTTCAGGATCAGAAGTGGTGAGGAAGTCTCAGGCGAAACGCCCAGCCTGCCCTACCAAGGCGTCTGGGAGTGCCACGATGGTGAGTTATTCATGAGGAGAAGGGATGGGGGAGGAAGAGGAGGAGGAGGAGGAGGAGGAGGAGGAGGAGGAGGCGCAGAATGTAGACGAGCAGGAGGAGGACCATGGCGAGGGGAGCGGCGACTCCAAAAGGGCCTCATCAGGGAGACACCTCCTACTTGGTCGGGGAGGCCTTCTCCAAAGAAGTCACCCTCTGCTATAGCGCATGCACTGCGGACTTCTTGGTTGTTTGTCTAAGGATTGGGTGGTCCCAGTGAGGTTTCGCCACGCTCCCGCCTCCTGCGTTGGATGGGTCTGGTGAGATTTTGCCACATTGCCGCCCGTTGCCGCCTCTTTGCCGCCTCGTGCGCTGGACAGGTTTGGCGAAGTTTCGCCACGTTGCCACCCGTTTCTGCCTCGTTGCCGCTTCGTGCGCTGTGTGGGTCCAGCGAGGTTTCGCCACGTTGCTGCCCGTGGCAGCCTCTTCACCGTATCCAGCTGCCCGCGGCAAACCCCGCCACCGTGCCTGTGCAACACCGCAGCAGAAAGGAGGCCGTTTGCAGCGCAATTCCGACCAGTAGTCTGCATTAGGGTGGGGCGTCTCTTGTGGCCTCCTGGGCCGTCTTAGGAGACTCTCAGCCCGCCTGACGCCTATTAAGGCCGCTTTGGGGGCCTTTCTAGGCCGCGTTGGTGCTCTCTTGGAGCGAATCACGGCCGTCTTGGGGCTATCTTTGAGAGCCTCTTGGGCGGTCGTTGGGTCCTCTTGGGCCGACTCGGGGCCTTCTTGGGGGCCTCTTGGGCTGTCTTGGAGCTATATTGGAGGCTTTTTGAGCCGTCTTTTGCGGTCGACAGCCCGAACTGAGAACCTCAAGATGTGTCGAAAACCCAAGGCCAATCAATGGTTTTGGACTCCTTGGTCTCTCCAGGAGGGCCTCTTGGAGACCTCCTCTGCCGGCTTGGGGGCGTCTTGATCTGTCTTGAGGCTGTCTTGGGAGTCTCCTGAGCCGTCTTGGGCCATCTTGGCGTCATCTTGGCCGCCTCGAAAGCCGGCCTGGAGGCCATGAGGCTCGCAAGAATGCCTCAAGACAGACCAAGAGTCCCCCTCCATAGCCATTCTGGCTCAAGGCTCGAGTCGGTTCTGGAACATCCAGGGCGCGAGCACGCGCTGGGTCCCCGTGTCTCCCTCGCGTCTTCAACGTGCAAGATGCCGAAAATCAAGGCGAAGGTCTCTGGCAACGGCAATGCCGCCCTAACGGCCGCGCTGCTGACCAAGACCCGGCTCTGCGGCTTCTACGCCCAGGGGAGGTGCACCCGCGGCGGCGCCTGCACGTTCGCGCACGGCGTCAGCGAGATCACCAAGCGGCCCGACTTCTCGCGCACGCAGGTGTGCCGTTCCTTCAAGACCACGGGACGGTGCGCCATGGGGGACGCCTGCCAGTTCGCGCACGCAGCCGAGCACCTCCGAAGGTGGGGCCACTGCACACCGGAAGCCCGGGCGGTGGGCCCCGCGGGGCGGGACGACTTCCGCCTCGCGAGCCAGCCGCCCGACGCCCTCCGCGCGCAGAGCCGCCGCAGTGCCACGGAGGGCACGGCCTCCACGAGCAGCGCGGCCGGCTCGGGGATCGAGGAAGAGGATCGGGCCGGACGAAAGGGGGGGATGGGGAAAAGGGAGGGGTGACGAAATCTGCTGCACACAGCTGGTTTCGGCCCCACCTGGGGGGCCCATTCCTCGATACATGGCCGCCTCCGGCGCCGGGAGGCGCCGGGAAAATCAGCTACGTGAGCTGATTCTCAAGCCCCCCCTTTGCTATGCCCCCCTTTCGCCCGGCCCGAGAGGAGGCCGAGCTGATCGAGTTCGCTGCCCAGGCCGTCCACGCGTGGAACGCGAGCATCGTCGCGGGGCCCCCTGGGCTGACCACGTGCGCGCTCAACGACGCCGGCAGGTACTACGCCGACCGCACGGCCGTCCAGGACGAGGGCCGCTTCCGCGACCAGCCATACGACAGCGTCATCCAAGAGAAGGTTTAAGTCGGGCCTGTCCCTCTACAGTAGGAATATTCAAAAATAGTCCAACAATAGTCTGGGGACGATTTTTTGAACATTTGTTTGACCATTTTTGGAGTATCTTGTTTTACTATGTTCTGCGTTGCTCGTCCAAAAAGCCCCTGCAGGGGGACAGGCCCGACTTGAGAGAAGGTGGAGCCAACCAGCGAAGTTCCCGACCTGCCGCCCCAGCCGCCGCTGCCGCCGCAGCGCTGGCTGGGAGAGACGGCGCCCAGGGAGCAGGCCGCGCCCACCTTCGCCTGGCGGCTCCCCCTCGGCGCTTTCTGAGCCGCACGCCGCCCGGAGCGGCGCGCTGCTGCGCATCGGTGCTCCCAGCCGGGGGAGCGGCGATGGTGCCCCGCATCTCAGGGAGGGGGGAGGAAACGCACAGACGCAAGCAATCGTCGACTCCCAGGAGAATATGGGAAAACGTGGGAAGTGGGGGGGGAAGACAAACACCCAGAAAATATCGGAAAAGATGGGGAATCCTGTTACTTGTGTCTATCCGTTTGTGCGTCCCAGGGCCCCTTTCATGATGCCCCGCATCCGCGTGGCCCCCGCATCGCCGTCGAGCGGGGCGCCTTCCGACGGGGGGGCGGTCAGGGGCAGCGAAGGGCACGACCAGGTAGGATGAAGTCGGGCCTGTTCCTCTACAGGGGGAATATTCCAAAATTGTCAACAAAATCGTCTGGGGACTATTGTTTGAATATTTTAGTTCTTACCAGAGGGGGAGTGGCGGTTGGCTTGCCACAGTTGCTCAGCCGCCAGCATAACTAAACACTGCTGGGGACGTTGTTTTTGTTTGTGAATCTGGCTGCGGGGGCTTCGGCAGATATTCAGCGCGCATGTAGCAGCGCGCCAGGTGGCTCGAGTGCAAACTGTGCTCGCGCACGGGATGCCTACTTCGCACTTGAAGAATCGACAGTGCACGATGCACCCCAAAGTGTGTGCTGTCGCGATCAGCCGAGAATTTCCCGTGCACGCCCCTATAGCCCGTTTTTTTTTTTTATTCATCATTGACTAGAAGTTGTTTGAGCGAAAGCTCTCGGCTGGCAACACTCGTCCTCTCGCTCCTCGTCCCTCCCCCCCTGCGTGCCCCTCCTACTATTCCCCTTCTTTCCACCACTCACCACTCATGATGCATTCAGCCGTATGAAGAGCATCCAGTTGCAGCCCCAGCCAGCAATTACAGCCAACGGTGCACGGAGGGATAAAAACGTCCCCCAATGATGGTTCGGCCTTTCTATCCTTCCTCCACCTCATCCTTTTTTTGTTCAGGTCGGCGTCCCTTTTATAGACTTTGCTTGAGATCGGTCAATTGATCCCTGAGTTCTCGCTGGATCAGTGCCAAGTGGTGCCTGGCGCGAATCGACCACGCCAGGCATGTCAAACTTGTAAGGCAGGACTGCTTGCATGCTGCATCCTGCATCCGGTGGCTGCGAGCACGGAGCAAAGACAGCACTTCGTTACGGGACATCCGCCGGTACATTTTCGACGGCGCACAGTTGTTGCAAGGTTGGCAGTATGCCTCCTCATCCTACCCTTCCTCTTCCCCCTTCATCCATTCACCTCCTCCTCCATCTCCTCCTCCTCCTCCTCCTCCTCCTCCTCCTCCTCCTCCTCCTCCTCGTCCTCCATCTCCTCCCCGATGATCGACCGTCTCCCGAACGTGGCCGGCCCTCGCCACGCTAAGAGAGCCGCCGCTCGGGGGGAGCGCAGGCCAGTGAGACAGCGGCCCCCTCCGTGCGCACCGTCTGAGCCAGAAGCACCTCCCTTGGCCCGCTCCTCCGCTCGAGCGGCCCGTGCAAAACGCTCGGCGCCGACGGCTCGCGCGGCTCCTCACTCGCGCGCCCGCGCGCGACTGGAGCCGGCGGCCTGCGCGCTTCTGCAGCGTAATATATGGTTTTGTTTGCATCCTCGCCCTCTTCCTTCCTCATCGTCCTCTTCTCCCTTCCTCCTCGTCCTCTTCCTCGTCCTCTCCTCCCTTCCTCCTTGTCCTCTTCTCCCTTCCTCCTCGTCCTCGCGACTCCTGTCCTTCTTCCTTCCTTCCTCCCGAAACTCGTCGGTCGCGCCTCGAGCCGCCTCACACCCGTTCTTCCTCTGCCTCCATGCCCATGGCTCCCCGCCACATCGTATGACCAAGCCTCCCCTCCGCGGGAGTACCCAGCAGGCAGATCGGCAATCCCTTAAGCCGCGATGGCGCTGGGCACCCGGGGCGCCTGGCACGGCGCCTCGGACGGTGACCTTTGGGGCCAGCCGCCAGCCCAGATGAGGGGTGGGTGGAGGAAAGAGAGAAGTCGCAGTGGCGAAGCGTCATGGCTCGCCTTTAGTCCTACCAAACAATGTTCTAAGAACCTTCTGTGGTTCCCACGAGATGTTCTTAGGACATTTCTGGCCAGGACTGTCTTGTTTTAACACAAGGTTTATGTGATTAGAACATTGTTTTTTCTTGGAACATTCTTGGGTTCGAAGAACATTTCGTGGTAGGACTATAGGACTGCCGGGACGGTCTGTCCCTGCTCAACGGATAGACGCACTGCCTTTCGGACGCTTAGGCGCAGCCCTGCCTGACAGGCTACGCCGCCGCCAGGCCTGCGCCTGGCCGTGGGCCACCTAATGATATTCGTGCCCGCTCTCGCTCCTTCGCCCCCACACGCAGAGTCCAGGAGTGGGAGGGGGTGGAGGTGGGGAAGGAGGGGGGGGAGAGGCGGAGGGGGAGGAGGGAGGAACCGCCTCCTACCCCCACATCTCGTTCCCTGGCCCGCCCGCCCTGCCGCCTCGTGGCGCTGGCGGGGGCCGGGACCGCCGAGAGATCGGCGGAGGCCGGGGGGAGTTGTGGCTCCGGGGGGCAGGAGCGGCGGGCGGCCCTGGCGCTCGCCGGGCGGGGTGCGCGCCGTGTGGGGTGGTCTCTGCCCACCGTGCCCCTGTCCCGCGGGCCTTTCTGGGCGCAGCCCTCGGCCACGCGCAGGGGGGAAGGGCCGTCTGGAGATGCAGCCCGCCGCGGCCAGCCCGAGGCACGCAGGGGGGGGGGGGGAGGAGGCCAGGCCGGCGGGGGCGGCCCCGTTCCCGTTCTCAGCCGCCGGGTTGGCGCGAATTCGTCGGGGCGGCCGCCTGCGAATCCTCGAAGGCGCCTGGCCACTGCGCCTCGGGGGGCTCCTGGCCCCCTGGCGCCCGCCGGGCTCGTGGCCGGGCGCGGCCTGGCGCCTTCGGCCTGGTGAGGTCCAGGTCGCCCCGATGTCAGCCCTGAGGTGGGGCCAGAGGATCGAGCCGGACGAAAGGGGGGGGATTGGGAAAGGGGTGGTGACGAAATCTGCTGTATGCAGCTGGTTTCGGCCCCTCCGAGGGGCCCATTCCTCGATACATGGCCGCCTCCGGCGCCAGGAGGCGCCGGGAAAAGCAGCTACGCCATCTCAAATCCCCCCTTTGCTGCCCGGCCCGAGCCCCGATGTCAGCCCTGAGATGGGGCCAGAGGATGTCTCGGCGATGCGCTGTGACCTTTCTCCGATGCCATCTGCTCGGGCCCCGAATGGGTGGCCTCCAGTGACGGTCGCCGCCATCTGTCCAGAATGACAAGGGGAAGCAGACGGCGAGACGACCGCGACCACGTTGCCATCAGTAGTGCAGTCTCGACATTTTTCCCCGCTCGTACAGGAAGAGTCATATTTGAATTTCCCTCCAGAGCGCGGGCCACCCTTTCTCCCAATCTGTTCTATGTGCGCTGTGCGTGGGTCGGTCGGCGCCGTTCCCCCGCGTGGCCCTGCCTGCTGCACCGCGTGGCCAGCCTAGTTTAAGGATCCTTCTGACCAGATCCGCGACATCCCCGACGGCCGCATCGCAGCTCAAAGCGCGCGCTCCTTACTGCCTAGCAGGCCCAAGGATTGAAGCGCGCGCTCCCTGCTGCCAGCAGGCCCTAGGAGTCCACGGGTGGTGCCCGCGCAGGCATCCGCCGACGGCGGGAGAGAGGCGGTGATGCGCACCGAGGAGCTGAAAAAAGGAATGACAGATCAGGAGTCCCCCTGAGACTGCCCAGGAGGTCTCCAAGAGGCCCTCCAGCAGAACCCGAGGAGGCCAGAACGATTCATGCTTATAAGATGTGTGAAGGATCTTGAGGTTCTGGCATGTCTGCGTTTCCGACCGGCCAAGACAGCCCAAGATGCCTCGACGGACCGCCTAGTGGCTTTCTTGGAGCGCTTGAGGGCCGACGTGGGGTCCTCTTTGGGAGCCTCTTGGGCGATCTTTGGATCCCCGTGAGCCGACTTGGGGCCCTCTTGGAGGCATATTGGGTTGTCTTGGAGTTATCTTGGGGACCTCTCGGAAGCCTCTTGGGCCGTCTTGGGTGGTCGGAAACCTGAACAGGCGAGAATTCCAACATGCGTCAAGGGCCTCTTGGAGCCATCGTGGGCATTCCTTGGGACCTCTTGGGCTGTCTTGAAGATGTCTTGGGAGCCTCTTGAGCCATCTTGGGCCATCTTGGGCCATTGTGTTGTCATCTTGGTTGTCTTGGAAGCCGTAAGCCGCCCTGGAGGACATCTTAGCCGTCTGGAGGTCGAAAAGTATCCAACAGACAATTTCAGGGGGGGCGGTCTACGCCAGCGCGTGCGCACCAAGGGGGGGGGGGGGCGGCCTTAGAAAACATATAAAAACATTCCCAGAGGGACCGCATTAGCATTTCAACATGCCCACTCCGCGCAGGCAAGGCGGCGGGTATAGCTTGCACCACGTCAATTCGAATGACGGAAGAAATATCGATTCCACCACCTTCCCCCCCCCCCCAGGGTTTCTCCCCTTCTTTCGTTATGCAATTTACATAGGATGCCGCGTCATCGCCCATGTTGTGCATGAAATCAGACCATCCCCGCTTATCGGGTATCGCCCCCTTTCTCACCCCTGCCAAATAGTACCATGCGCGTGCACTTGTTTTCTGAACAGATAACGTTTCAGCAATATGTTACCAAAGCGGCATGGAGACCATACGCGCGCGCACATGTCGAAATCAGACCAAACACAGTAGTTCTGCAAGCCTTTCAACATGAAGACAACAAAAGCTCGCAGGTGGTTCATCCCAAACCTTGTAGATGTTCTGCCCGAGCGCACTTGCTGAAATCATAGGCAGCCATATAATGTCATGAGTTTCGTCGAGAACCCGCATTGTCATCACACCACGAGGTGCGCTCGCGTTGATCCAGCGTGTGCCCAGCGCACGAATCCGTATCGAATAATATCATATGAGCCAGCGTACACCTTAAACAGTGAGCTCTTGCAATCTACGCGGTGCAGTCAATGTGGTTCAATCGTTCAATCTAGATGGTGGAAGTCATGCGGTGTTGTCGATGCGGCGCAATGCAATGCAAAGGAATGCCAAGCGATGCAAAGCCGTGCAAAGCAATGCGATACAA